TATATTATATTATTTTATATTATATATATAACGAAACAGCCTAAACCCAACACCCCCCTTTCATTCTTCCTACATTCCTGCCATCATCTGGTCAAGGTGTCAGGAGGCCTCCACGTACTGCCAGGGCTTCACCCTCACCGCCGAAGCTACCGTGCCGCTGGCGGATGCCTCCTCCGAAATGTCCGAGGCCTGGGAAAAAGCTCCATATAGCACTTGCATGCACTTGCCATGACAAGAAAATGCTTGGGATTTTTTTCATGTTGCAGGTCTTGTGGTTGTCATACAATGTCATACACAAGCGGTGATACATGACAGGTAGTTATGATGATAGCAATGAAACAGTCGATCCATGGACACGCCAACTGCCATTGCTGGTCCAGGGAGTCCATGATGTCCCGTTCCGATTCAGGGCACTGTGCTGGGACTAATCTCGCTCCATGTTGGCAAAGTCTTGGAAACTCAGAGACACGAGTCCGACAGTCATACCGAAAGATTAATGAGAATGCTGCAGTACCCACCTGTGTGGAGAACGACTCATCGATCTCAGCACACGCCACATCCTCACCAGGGCGACATGTTGCTATCTTTTCGTTTTGGACTACGGCTTGCACCCATGATGTCGGTGTGCTCTATTCCCTTTATCCGTTGCTGAGGCTGCAAATGCCAATTGCTTGTGCCATGCACTACAACTGCGGTGCTATGACTGCAAGGAAGGTGTCCTCGACGCAGCCGCATTTCTCCACGCTGCACACTGCGAAGGCCTCAAGCGCCGAGAAGTCCCCAAAGCACTAGCCGCCTACATCTAGAGCACTTCTCTTCAGGGCTAAACCTCAAACCCTGCCGCGAAATCCCTGTCAAACCCAAAGTCTTCATTGTCAAGACCAAGAGACCACACAAAGCTAAATCCAGGTGTGGCAAGGGAATATCATCTAATAATGAGGATAACGGTTATGCATACTTCTACTTCGCGACTAGTCATGCTCCTCACACTGTTGCAGAACATCGGGGTCGCAATGGAACTCATTTTGTGACTCTTTAAACAGTGGAACCCTGCTTACAAGGAACTCCCACAAAAGTCACGCCTAACTCTTGGAATACCGCATACAGCACCAATAAAGCTATTACAAAACCCGTAAAAATCCCCGATATCAAAAAAGGCCCCTGAGGTTCCCAGAGGCGACTGGGAACCCAGCGCCCGGCGCGCAGCAGATCGGGGCTCGCCGCGGTGTGCTGCGAGGGGTTGCCTCCCAGGTGGCGGCCGCTGTAGGGCTACCTAGAAAGCTACCCACCGACCTACCTAAATCTGTATGTATACGATATGTGTATTCATGTATGTATGGGTACCAACAGGCATAGCCTTGGCATGGAAATCACCACTATAGGTCTTGTATTGATGTGTAAAGGTCATGCCGCTCTATGGCCGTGACAAGGAGCGGGAACAGTGCGTCCATCCTCTTCTCGACCAAGACCGTCTTTGCTGAAACCATTTGCCCGTGGTGGGATGATATTATCTGACATAACAGTATACAATTGTAGGGGTTTTAATGCCAAGCCGTTCCATAGTAATCTTAGGGGGCAAACTGTTGGGAAAGTAGTGATGCTATGTAGTCTCTTCGGTGGAAAAATACGGTGGAATTTATGAAGAATCGGTTAATGCAATGTCCAATTGACTTCCTGCTCAAACTTTCAAGCTTCACAGATGCCGATCGGGCGACACCGACAGCAAACCTCAGCTTTCTCGTCCACTCTCATGCACAGGTAGGTTTCTACATGTTGGAGCTGACTTCTCCGCCCAGGCACTGAACCCACCGTGTGGGTCGGGGGTAGCAACTGGTTCATCGGCTGCTTTGATTGCTTCATATTGCTTCGCTCAAAACTTCTTTTGTTGAATGAATCGGTTCGCCTCGGTACGGCAAACGTTGGCATACACTGGTCTACATCTAATCTCCTAAGACAATCATCAACTTCGGTGGTTCTGACCTGCAATCAGTGCCAAGAAGAGAAATCCGCGGGAAACAGGTCTCCACGTTCGTGGACCTGTAATGAGGTTCAAGCAAATAACGCTTGCAGTTATAATCGTAACGTCTGGAGCAGCAATGTGCCACCCTTGGTTCTGCTGGCCGATGGGTCTGTGGCATCTTTCGGAATCTAGCTCCAAAGAAGGTACTCTCAGTGAATAACGGCACGGGTGCATCTACCAGCATCTGAAACTTCCTGATCCCATGAGTCACTGACACCAAATTCTGCGTCGAATCTTCCGCTCTTATTCTGGCATCTGGAGCTTCTGCTGCTCCAAGATTTCATGGCAAACTTCCGTCAAGCGCTCCACCTCCAGCCAAGGCATTGGCTCGACCCGGGCCCTATCCCGAAAGGCTGGGAAGGAAGGGTGCAACACTTTGCGCAGGCCCTGAATCCAGGAGTTAGCAGCTTCCAAAAAATGCTTGTGAACGAAGCCACTGAGAACATAAGGCTAGACTGTGCGACACATACGACCTATCCCAGTGGAGGTACCAATGCTTCCCTGGTTACGCCTCTGCTATGGGCTTCTGCCATTTTTGATATCGATGGATGGTCATCAGTCTTTCAGCGGCCGTGGTGTCGTTGCCAAGACTGCAATCGTCAGTTTGAGCTTGACTTCAAGCGCAGATGCTTACACCGGAAAGGGGACTTTAGGCTCGGCCCTGAACCTGAACAGCTCGGTTGGATCGTCTACAAGCAACCCGGACCCACGACATGGTATTTGGAGGTTATGTAGAACCTAGGAGTTCCGACTCAGCTTCTTGCTTGCGAAAGAAACATCGAACCGAAATGCCTGCGAGGCTTGGTTTCAGCCACGACCGAAGCCTTGTCGTGGAGCTTCGAGCCCTCGCGCATCAAGCGATAGACGTGGATGCTCTGTGCCGGCCCTTGGAAAAACTTCCTGGGAGGGCGGAACAAACATGAGAGTAGCCTGCCGGCACGGCCACTCCTTCCTGATTCAATGCTCTCGAACTCTCGCAGGTGCCAGCACCCCCTTTTGACGGACCAAAACCTGGCCTGTCCGAAGCACCCAAACTCCTGAAGCCCAGCCCCCTCTTGTGGACACCTTCTCGGAGTTTCAGGCAAGGAGCAAGCCTTTGGCGAACTCCTCTTCGTCGATGCAGCCGCTCTGGTCTGCATCCAGAATGTCCTCTTCTCCAAAGTCGGTAACTTGTAGGGCAAAGGATGCTGAGAGTCGCAAGGACTTTCGACTCTCACTCTCGCACGCAGCTGGCAAGGCTCCACATGTGCAAAGACTTCAGTGAGCTTCCGGGTCCCACAGTTCTTCGGCGTTGATGCCGTCCAAATTGATGCCGAGCTTGCGGAAAAGGGTCTGAACCTGGCACAGGGCTCAAGGCAAGGGAGGACCGATAACGGCCCAACGACAGAGCATCCGTGGCAACAGCCTTGATGTTGTACATCTGCTCCTTGAAATCGTCCAGGGTGAACTGGCCATTGATGTGAGCCAGTTTGATGAACAAGTCCTGGCAGCCAGGGCGGTGTTCCAGCAATCGACCCAGGTAGTGTGGACAGATGCCCTGTCATCCGAGAAGTGGATGTTGTTTGTACGAACATGTCCTGCCGGTCTCTCTGTGCACACATTCGGTACCCGCTGATCGAAGTCATGGCGAGGAACGCCCGTCGCGACTCAAGCTCGAGCCGCCCCCCCCCCCTTACCCTTGCTGCGTAACAACGCAGCCGCATCCCGCCCTCTTTGATCCTTGGAACTACACGCAAAGACGTGTTGGGATGGTTTCCACACATGCCACCTTTCCAAGTATCGAGCACTCAAAACAACTGCAACCTCGGACGAAGTCGAAACAGCAAGGGTGGGTTCAGTCCTTGATGTCTGCGATCCACCGCTTCCTCTCAGTCAACGCCTTCGGTCGCAGTTCCCAGGAGCATTGCAAGCCCGTGTCCCCTTCTGAGCGAGAGCTTCTAGATTCGAGAGTGGCAGGTGATGGAGCAAGATCGATCAAGACTGAGGAGGGGCCGCGATCGCAGGCCTCAAAGATCCACACAGAACACGGTCAGCAGCTTGGTGCAAGTGAAACAATCTGGTGCAATAGTTGCCGCTCTTACAGCCACACAACTTACCCGGTTGGGGGTATGCCTCCAGGTACATCGCATCCTCGTCTGCACCTTTGAGAGCCTTGGCATTGTCCACGAAAATTCCTGTAACCTTGGCGAGCTTGCAATCGCCGATTGCACAGCATCTGGTCTATCATGCAACTCATTCCAGATTCCAGGACAGAATGAGAAACACAGACACACACACACACAACACGCACTAGTAAGTTGCTTCAGGCAAGCTCGGAAAGGCCCATGTTCGTGGGGCGTGTTTTGCCGTCGTCTTTCCTTCATGGCGAAGTGACTTTGACTTGGCAGGAGACCGGAACCGGCACCGGGGCTCCATGAAGCTGGCTGGTGGGAGGCCAGCATGTCGCGTAAATGACGACAGAGCAGATCATTTGCATGGAAATATGCCGGGCCGGGGGACAATGTTCAAGCAGCAGAAGATGGTGAAGAACACGTAGGTTGCAAACATGTACTCCTGCACGGGACAGGTGCATCAGTTGATCTGCACGCCAATATCGGCGGCATGCTCAGGAAGGCTCTGAATTTGCAAGCAACTTGACTCTCGAACCCATCAGAGCAGCTTGTTTACAACCTCGAAAAATAGTACCCGAGCTACTGCACAACACGTCCCGTCTGTGGTGGTTTGGTACGGACGGTACAGGTGGCAAAATCCCGAAGGCACAAGACATTCGGTGTCCAGAGCTTCGCTGACCATGCGCAGAGGCCGAACGCAGTCTTGCCAGTCTATACCACCACTGATGGCCATATACCTTGGGAAAGTCCCGATTACAGCAGAAAAAACAGAAATAACAGCTACAAGATACAGCCAACAGGTACAGTGCCACAAGGGACGACTTTGGGCATACCAGAGGCCCACCATCTCCGTCACCGTAAGGGGAACTGACCCTCGCTCAGAGTCTGTAGGAAGCTGTGGGCTCATGACCACTCGAGTCTTAATTGATCACCTCCTCCTGCCTTTGTAGCGCCTCCCTGAGTGCGAGAGGCCGTGTCGCAATACAACCAACAGAATCGGCAGCTTTTGATATACATTGGTCGAACAGTACTCGGACTCTACAAGCCTGCACAACATAATACAGATCATCTGTACTAAGGTCCCTGAGCATCTCCACCCTCGAAATCCTCCTGAGCCCGCTGCAGTGTCATCATCGTCCGTGAAAGCGAACCCCAATACATAATGAGCTCTTCCTGTGATCCACCCATCTCCTGCGCGGCCAGTATCAGGAAGCTGAGTTGTCTGACTAGTTCAATCGAAAGCTGTGGAGTCCAACCGATGGCGATGCAGGTTGAGTTGGGGTCTGTTTAACTCAACGGAAAACGACTAACGAACCTCAACAGAAAACGAAACAACAGCCTCAGCCAAGAACGAAAACTGTTCTGAAGCATGAAACAGCATGAAGGCTTCCGGGCTAGGCCGCTTCGGCCAGACACGGCTCGGCCACTGCAGCCTCAAGAAGCACTAGGCTCGACCGCCGAAGAAACCGAAAGATGCCGCGACGATTTCAGAAACTCTCCGACACTGCCAGGCCGAACCATTCAACTCCACGTCCCTAAGGCCCTATGTTTGATCCGACTTGCTTCCACAAGCGCAGAATATATAAATTCCTACATACGTACGCACATACGTACACAAGATCAACGAGGTATACATTGGAACATGTATCACAAGCACACCATGGCTCCCGGCAGCGTGCCTTGATGTAGTTGGAGGCGAGCTGCATGAAGGTAACGCCAACCATGAACATCCTGAATCGCCGGCTTGGGTACATGACTTTGAAGCTTGACGGTCTATGGTTTCGGCTTGAAATGGATAATTGCGACGCTCGTGCGTTATTAATCGGTACGGCTACGGCTACTGCTGCTACTGTTGTTGCTGGCACCAATGCCAGCAGGAATACCATTACCTCACGCTCCCGTGTCCGTACCTATGAAGGGATGCAACGGAGCCGAAATTCAAGGACCGGAAGAATCCCGGAATGCTTCTGAGACTGGATCGCGAGATGCCGTCGCTAACATCGCAAACGGCATGTCGAACCAGACCGAATTTTGCAAAGTTAACACTGGACATCCTCCGCCCGAACCATAGAGGCATACAGGCGAAGAGTCACCATCTATTGCTGATATTTCT